TACCTTGTATACATCACTTATTGATCCAAGACAGATGAAAAGAAATACAAAAATGAAAAAATAACAAAGAAAGTATAGATACTGTGCAGCATCAGCTCCAACATCTGATGATAAGCCAAATAAATGAGCAATTTTAATAATACTAAGTGGAACATTAAATACCAGATTAAGAGAAGAAATAAACATTAACTGAATCGTCATCTTTCGTTGCTTGCGCCATTGGATTGGTAGATGAGAACAGTATTTATGCAAGATAACTCGAAAAAGGAAAGCGAAACTTAAAAATGCCTCGAGAATTGATGGCACAATATAATTGACAAATATATCCCACATGCGCATTATTTGATCATTTTGATAACATGGAGATACATTACAGAGTGACTGAGTATAATCATAAACATCTTTACATGGACAAAAAATAAATTGAATAAATATAGTAAATTAAAATGTAAAAGATTAAAAACATCAATGGTACATAATGAACTAATATATGTTTATTTCTTGTTGAAATCCATTGATCATTAAATATGATAATATGTCTTTCCAAAGCAGTCCATGAAAAAATTATGGTTCATCCATTATACCAACCAATATCAATAAACCACCATATAAGACAGACTGAATAATTCGATGAAATAACAGTTGAATGTACAATAAAATAGAGATAGAATGGAACATCAATTAATTGAGAACCCAAACCAAGAATGAGAAAAATAATGAGAACATGATTTTTCATTGCAGATCGTAATTTTCGATTAATAAGAATTTGAAAGAGAACAAAGAGTGAACACATAGTTGACAAAATATTGGGTAGAAGAAAAATTCAAAAGCGAGTAACGCGCGATAAAGAAAAATTCGCTCGTGGAGAATGAAAGAATTTCTGTATCGTTTAAACTTTCGTTATTAGTCATTACCTAAAAGCTTTAAAATAATAGAAGAATACACTTCGATTCAAATGAAATGTCAATCAAATTAGAAAATCTGTTAAATTGATCATACTTAGGAAAATGTTTATTAGATTTATTTTATTGATCTTTAGATAATGCAGAAAGTTATAATGAATCTCAGTCAGACTATCCATACGAAAAAATCAAGTTGATCATTATTATTCTCTGTACTCTGATAATTTTAGAATGATAGAGGATTTTTGAAATTTTTCTTTTCATATGTAGCTCAGAAGAATTCTAAATCAACCTATCTGTCCAATAATCAATAGACAAATAGTAATGGTGTATTAATAATTTCAAAACTAACTAGTTAGTTACACTTGTCATCTTTCTTTTTTATTCAAATCAAGATTATTAGAAGTAACATTTAAGACGAGATTCCGCTTTAATAAGTTTATTTATTCTGTCGCTACAATATTTTTCGCTCTCTCCTTCCAACATGAAATGAAACAAGTCTATAACAATATGTTTGAGAAAAATATATCTAAACAAAAAGAAAAATGAAGTAACTAAACATGTTATTTGGTCATCTCGAGAGAGATTATCGAAAATTAAATTTAATAAATAAATAGTAAAGTTATACGAATATCAATTATTTTTAGTAGACATAATCTGCAAATTTTTGACTGATAAATTAAAATATAGTGATTGTCAGGACACAATAGTTCTCATCAAATATTTACTTTTCTCAATTAATTTAATATTCTGTAGTTGACAAAGAAAAATCTTGGATGATGTATAATCATTAATACAACATTTAGAAACTATATCAACTTCTTAAATACTACCGTTGTGTTGTGGAAGTTTGTTTTTTTCTCCATTGTTATTAATCGATAAATACTAGATTTCATAGAATTATAATTTTTATGTAATATTTGTACGCTAATGATATATTCATTACAAACAGTCATCATCAATAAACTTTATTATCTATTTGATCTATCTTTCACAATATTCGCACTCATTTATTTTTCTATATCTGTATAAACTACATATTATATATAAATCGTTCTAAATCAAGAATAAATTATGATAATTACAGCATTAAATAATAATTCTGTATTTTATCTCAAAAACAGTTTGATTACGATGGAAATTGA